GGGGGAGGCCATGGAGTCATGGTTGTTGAGGTAAGCCCTGTTAGTGCCCTCAAGGTCCTGATATGAGTAATTCAGTACCATTTATTTTTATTCTTCTATTTTATTAGATACAAAGCTTGTATTTCTCTCCCCTTCACCGAGATAAACATTTCACTTTGTGTTTTTCTTGTCAGTGCAGTTGCACAGCCAAGCCGGTGGTACAGCTGGGCACAGCCTGGCTGGTTACATGCCGGCTGGACTCAGCCCACCGGCTGGTCCATCTGACCCACAGGGTGTCCGGGGTGTTGTCCTTGGTGTTACTGCGACCTGTTTCACTGTTTCTTTCAAGGGCAAAATGACACAGAGCTGTCTGGCTCCATTATCTCAGATGCTCGTATTCCTGCATCTTACTGCGCAGTCAAGTACAATGTTGGCCAAGTGTGGTTTTTATTACATTTTATAATGTGAAACAGAGCAGTTGTTGAATGTTAACAAGCAACCTATGTGAGACTTCCTTCTTTGCTGTAGGACATCTAGCTTCGTTCTTGTATTAGACTTTTCTAATATCCCAAAGCCTTAGCTAGACTTTTTTTCTTTTACTTTCAAACATTTACCAAAAAATAACCATATGGAAAGAACTTTTAACTTTATTTCAAATTTTGACTCATAGAGAATACAGTAATACAATGACTGAACCACCAAGTAAGCTGGAACTGGCAGCTTCTGTATTTTTCATGCTGACTGGCAGGTACTAGAATCTGTTGCCTTTACATGCACGAGAAAGTAGGAGTATTCCAGAACTGTCTGCCGAAATCCGTACCCAGATACAGAGTGATCAATACTGTATCTTCAAGGCTTCCTTTTGAATTTTGGTGTGCGTTCGTTGTGTGTGTTTGTTTGGTTTTTAATATGAACAGGACCGAACAGGAAAGGATCAGGGTTGCATCCAGTTTGTTGCTAAGACTGTAAATAAAATTTGACTGAATTAATGCCTTCAGAATGTACAATAGGTTTCTTTATGATCTGGAGAAAAGCAGTTTACTTTTGGTGGGGAATAGTCCCATATAATTACGTGCTGCATTGAAATGATGGGTGTGACAGCTGTTCACTGGTCTCTTCTTAACAAGTGTAGAAGTGTAGTGTGGAGTTGTTTTATACATCTGTACTGAGAACTGCAGTTGTGTGGTGGTTCATGGGGGGTTTTTTTGTTTGTTTGGGGTTTTGGGTTTTGTTTGGGGTTTTTTTTTGTTGGTTTTTTTTTAGTGGTTACATGGCTTCAAATATTGGAAACAGCCACATTTGCAAAAGATATAATAAAATGTACCATTTCCTGAGAACTACCTGTGCACCATCTAGGTTCTTTGTAGCAGAATGCTCTGCCTCAGGGGAAAACAGTTGTGCTGGCAATATTACTGCCACTTAGTTCTTTAGTATTTCCCCCCAAAAAAACACTTTTGCAATTCAAGGTTTGAGCTCTAAATCCTGACATCTGATAGCCATTCTTAGCTATGCTCACTGTTTGGGAGTCTGTAGTCTAACATACTATGTTTTTCTCACAGAAGGGACTCTTTCTGGCCTAACACCTGCTTTATTCTTGCTGAATTCCTAGTTTTCTTATGGTGAGTCTGAGAGTGATACTACAAACTGAAATCACAAACAGAGGACTTAGATTTCAGGAAAGGACTACATTGAAGGACAAGATAAATAATGTGAAAACAAAGATCTTGTTTTCTTCCAGTGTTCTTTTGTGACTGGACTAAAATGAGAAAAATGTGTGTGGGGTTGGGAAAACAAATACAAGCAACCCGATCCACTGCATAAGTCAAAATGAAAATTTTCAAGTATTCTAGAAGGCATCATCAGATCTTTAAAGGATTTAAGCTGACCTCTCCATAACCTCCATATGTGCAGAGACAAAAGGACATGCCGAGAGGAAGCATGTCTGAAAGCATTACAGTAATGTGCTCCGGACAATGGAAATGCTGAGCTGCCTGGTATTTAGAGTATTTGCATGGAGATTCTGTGGCACAGTATATCAGCGTTTAGCATTTTTCTTTACAGAACAAGACAACATTCCTGAAACTAATACCTTAAAAAAAATGGGATTTGGATACAGGTTCCAAGGGACTTGTTTTATTGGGGGTGAGAATGTGAGGGGAGTCTTGGAGTATGAATTAGAGTACTGCGTTTCAAACATGGGCCTGAGTTTCACACCAATTTTCTTTCTTCCTCATCTGAATTGAAAAATTGTTAATTATGGGAAGATATTTATTGGAAAGGCAGAAAGAGGGCGTGAGTAAAGAATTAGATATAAATCATCTCCCTTGTTTAATATTTTTTAAAAAAGAAGAGTCTTGAGCTGGCTGGATTCTAATTACCCTGGTAAAATAAATGCTAAGTGAGTTAAGCTGAGTAGTAACAACAATGCATCTTTAAAGAATTCCTTAAATACAACTTCGGTTACGAAGGCAAGTAACTAATTAAATTCTAGTCATCTTTTTGCACTGAACAGGTCTCACACCTTCCCCCACAGCATAAATTTTGAATGCAAATGATTTGATTTGTACAAATGTTACAGGGGACAGATTTTTACAATACTGTATTAGACATGGAGACAGCTAATGGCTGGCACCAGTCCTTGCCAGGGTGGTTGGAAACATAAATGTTGAAAACTGCAGCAATTTTTTTTTCCAATCAAGCTGACACAGACTTGAATTCATAAGCTTATACAACCTAAAAATGTTGTTTTCCTCACTTGTAAATATAACAAATTTAGAGACTTGTATTTTCATCTATAAAATGTTCTGCTGTCTGCCTCCAGCAAGGTGTTAGCAGGAAAAGTTGTCAGTAAAAATACATATGAGACAGTTGTGGGAGTGCCCCGTACAGCACCAGAGGTTTGCAAGCTCCTACCAACTTCTAAATTTATTGTTCATCAATGTCAGTGAGATTCATTCCAGCGTCTAAATTAAAATTTCAGTATAAAAGGCCAGTTGGGGTTTCAGTTCTGAATTACTGGAGATTCCGTTGTTTCGACAATAATGTTTGTCAGTTTTTCATATTTCTTTTACATTTTAATTATAACTCATCAAATCTTAACCGATTACTCCTGGGTTAGACTCAGAAGAATGTCACTGAAGAGTGTTTTAATTTAATGGAAGCAGTGTAACATCTGTTTCTAATGTTTTAAAAGCCAATTTATATGGAAATTTTGCTTTATCGAGAAGTCAATAGATATGTAGTTTTCTAACACCTCCTGTAAAAATCAAAACTTGAATTAAAGGAGCACCAAAGCAATGCTATTCTTTCTTGTGGTAGCAGTGTAATTGCATTTTCACAGCCTTTCATTTGTACCCTTTTCCTTCTGCTGAAATGAAGTTTTTATTTGTCTTTTGTAGTCGAGCCATCAAGACAAACCAGGACCTTCTGCCCGAGACGCCGTGGACCCAAATCTTCTACAATGACTTTTGGGGGACGCTGCTCACTCACAGTGGGAGCCACAAGTCCTACAGACCTTTCTGCACTCTCTCCTTCCGCATTAACCATGCCGTTGGAGGGATGGATCCATGGGGCTACCACCTCGTAAATGTCCTGTTACATGCTGCAGTCACAGGCCTTTTCACAAACTTCTCCAGGATCCTGTTTGGGGATGGGTACTGGACCTTGATAGCAGGCCTGCTGTTTGCATCTCATCCCATCCACACGGAAGCCGTAGCGGGAATCGTAGGGAGGGCAGACATTGGAGCCTGCCTCTTCTTTCTGCTTTCCCTGATGTGTTACGTGAAGCATTGCTCTACCAGAGGTTCCTCACCAAGTACTTGGGGCTGGATCTTGGGAGCGGGGCTGTGTGCAGGATGCAGCATGCTGTGGAAGGAGCAAGGAGTGACTGTTCTGGCTATTTCAGCGGTGTACGATATCTTTGTATTTCATCGAC